TATACTGGGCATTTCTTTGCTTAACTGATCAGACTTGATTCTTTCTAGGTTCACTTAGCAGCAGAAGTTACCTTCCTCCAGGACAGGCTGAAGGGTGATGCTGTAACAGAAATAGGAATTACGTTTTTAAGAAAGGCTGAAGACAGAAAGCACAAAAGGAATAAGTGAAAGAAATATTGGGAGAAACCCATGCTAAGGGATATTTTGCACCTTTTGTTTCTGAAGAAGACATGCAGGGTAAAAATGGCTTCGCTGAGCCAGGTGCACCAGTCATACATTCAAAAGGTGAAGAGAGCTTGGCAGCAAATAGGAGAGGCAGAGCAGGGGCAGAGCAGGGACAGAGCAATGTTAATTGTCATGGCACAGATTTCAGTATAAAAGATCAAAATGGCCTGCTCTTCCTTCTCACATAACCATGCTCTTGAGCTGAGTGGAACTTTTATCTCAGTGTTTAATGCACTCTGGATGCAGAATATTCATTTGGACACCAACCGTGTTCAGCTAAACATGACCACCTTTTTTTTCCCTTTCTGTTTGTTGGTAACATTTCAAAGCACGGTTGCTAGGTGGTGCTTTATTTCCCTGGCTGTTTGTGGTTAGGAATAATGTATTAATCTGCTGTGACTTCTGGGTGCAGTGTCTCGCTACCAGGTGCCTGTTTTGATGAGTAGCGGTTTGCCATTCATTGTCCTCCATACCGGACATCATGCTTTGAAACCAGAGAGGGATGTGGCTTCACTGATGGCAGGAGCCTGTTCGGTCCATTACGGCTCTTTCAGGCCCCAAGTGCACTTTTGCCAGCGTGGCTGTTCATCCCTGTGCATGCATGTGCATCAGACTGCAGCACTCTGACAACTGCAGCAGTGCTTATGTTGCTTCAAGCTATGGTCTTTTTCATGTCAGCCTGATCTTCAAGAGCACTGGTCTTACGACCAAACTGAACAAAGCATGGCATATTTAATGTGTAGTCACTGTGGATCTGTACCCACCTAAGGAAACTCAAATAAAAATTCAGAGATTGCCACACAAGTGGTTTGCTGGTTGTTGTGTCTGTTCTTCCATCTTCCCCTTGGCAGTGGACTTGTTACCACAACATGACTGGGAAGCAGAGAAATAGCAGCCTTGCAGAGACCTGAGTTATAGGGAAGGTTTAATGTTCTCTGGTGTAATTGCAAGATAATCTGGGTAAGGGTTGGACAAACCCCCAAGTCCTAGCACAGTACCCTACCCTCAAGGACAGCTCACCTTCTTCTCACTGAAGCACTTGTTTTAAACTGAAATGCAAACTCTCAATACAGTTCAGTGAAGCCCAGAGTGAACTCTGATTTTATCACTGTGATCCCCTCATCTCTTATTTTCCCCTCAGTCTGTTTACCTCTTAATCCTGCTAAGTGAGGGTATCTCTTACCTTGGGGACAGTGGGGTTCATTCCCACCAGATCTGTACAATCTTCATGATAATGTTTCTCCCTTTGTCTTAACAGCAATGCTTTAGTGTAATGGAGCTTTAAAGAACAATTTCGTACAGAACAAAACCTAAGCTATTCATTAGCTTATTGGGCTTATTGGCCTTGGGCTAATTAGCTTATTAGCCCTGGGCTCAGCCCAATATACTGTTACATGGTACAAAAGAGGAGTTACAACATGTGACAACATATTACAACCAGTAAAAAAAAAGTTTCCCTACTTTTTTTTTTTCCCCCTTCTATCAGGGATGGAAGGTCTTGAGGCATTTGATTTCCCTGCCTGCTGGTTATGCCCAGCTGGCTGAGGTGGACATGTGGCGACTTTGGCTGACCACAAAATGATCCTTTACAAGGCAATGGCCATTTTTCTTTTCTCCAGCAACATCCTACCAACCAAATATTCTTATTTTTTTATTATTATCTTGAAAGAGAATAACCTATTCTGTCCTTGTTTTGTAAGATGTAATTTGCTTACTTTAACCTCTGTTGCATTAAACTTGCATGCAGGTGTGTGTGCTTGCACTCACGTACAGTAGCATTTTCTGTCAGCTAAAAAGCATCAGCCACCACATTGCAGCGACATCTTGGCTGTCTCCTGTGTATTCAAGGCCTATCAAAGAGTTTCTGTCTGCAGGCATTAGCTGGCAAAGTAAGGGCTAGATATTAACATTTTTAAAGCAAGGACCATTAGTACCATCCTGGGCCTTTGCAGCCTTGCCACACCGGGTTTGGTGTGGCCAAGGCTTCCTCCCCTTCCCTCAGTGCCAAACATTTGCAGTGATGCTCCATGTAGGACATCAATGTTGTTTCTTCAAGTTTCAGCATTTCAGAATAAACAGCCCAAGGAAATCTTTAGTTCTACTTGGACATGGTAAGTTTTGAAGGATAAATTTCTTCTGTGCAAATGAACATAAACCAGAAAAGCCTGAGCTATTCAAGCACAGATTTGAGATCAAGCCAAGATGTGACATGACGCTGCCAGACTGGGCTGGATGCTAGTTCATGCTCATGTCATACCCTTCTTGCACATCTGGTCATGCAACAATCATTCCTCTTGGATCAGCTCTGTGCTGGGCAGATATGCTCAGTGCACACGTTTTGCTGTTAGTTTTTTTTGTATTTCCTTCCTACACTGGATTACCTCATCCATTGTTTTCTGAAGATGGAGTAAATAAATGCCAGCTAGAAAAATGGTAATAAACAACGGACAAAACTGTGACCCACACTACCTTAGTGTTAGTTGCTGACATTAGTTACCTTATGCACATACAGTTTTTGCTTGTCTCACTTGGTAGCATATTCACAGAAGTGTTCCTCCATGTTTCTTTTTAGTGTAGGTTCTTCTTTTGAAGGTATCTAACAGAGCACTCACAAGTGTGCTGAAGCTTCTTTCTGCAATTTCTTTCATTATGAATGTAATTACATACAGGAGATATGAGTGTTACATGAAGGTGAGAAAAAATAAAACTTAGAACATGGTTGCATACAAAACCAATATAGAAATACCTGCTTCTACTCTTAGACATACTACTTTCCTTCTGCCAAAAGTCACTTTATCTGTGAAAAATAGACTGCCAACATTGCCATCAAACTTGAAGATATATATTGCGGTCCCATTTGAAGTCTTTCCTTATTGATTTTAATTATAGAAGGGCCGGCTCTGTGTCTTCCTTGGAAAGCTGAGGCAGCTTTGGTAATGAGACCCTGGCAGTTGCCACTGTGAGTGGGAAGTGGCAAACCCCCGCCCAGATGCAGCTGAGAGGTTTAACGTGAATTCTGGGGGTGTTTTCACTGCAGCTTCTCGTCAGGAAATGAAATAAAGCGTGGCTTGTTCATGGAGGCTTTCAGGTCTACCCTGCAGTGGGACTGGGACAATGTTTTACCTTTAGATGCCAGTGAAGGGGATGAACTCTTCAATAGGAGAGGTAAACATTTTTATCTGAACCATGCTTCCTGGAGGCACAAGTAACAAATTGCATACTTATTATCAGCAGGTTTCTTAGAAGGAAAAGAACACTGAGCAAGTCACTGACTCTCTGACAAAATGAATGCTTTTTAAAATTGTTTTTTGCATACAGAATTAAATCTTGTTTTCCCTTTATGTGTTATATTTTAAGTTTATAATAAGAATCAAGCTTCCAAGCAAGTTATATTCAGCTAGTTAAAATAGGCTCTTCCCTTTCCTCTTTCTTTGGAAAATGTCTGTAACAAAAAACAATGGTATTTTTCTCTGTCTGCCTGAATAGCTTCCAAGTTAGAGTTTACTGTCTAGAAAGAGATTTCTGGGAAGATCCCAGGCTCGCCTCTGGAATGCTCTCTAAAAATACGGCTTTTCAGAGAAAACCTGAACTTTATCATTCTTCACTCAAAACTGGTACCTTTGTTTCTTACACTTAGATGTTCTTCGATAAAAACGTTATTATTTGCTAATATGGACTGTGGATTTATAATGTTCTTAAGTATGCAGCTGTTCTATAAATATTTGTCAATATGAGCTTCACCTATACTGCCATGTTATGCATAAGCCTAACCCCTGAGGACATGCTAATTTGCATTTAGACTCCATTCTGGGTCAGGTTAAATAGTGTGTTTGGCAGGGACATCCAGGTGTAGCTCAGGTACTGATGCCAGGACCAAACCCCAATGTTCAAGATTTTATATTTAAAAAACCCCATAATAATTATGTATTTTTCAGAAAAAAATATAAAAAATACAAATGGAATATAAACAGGAAGTTTAATGTTGGTGGGTTTTCCTTATAGCATTCAAATGCCTATTTTTTCCATTAGAGAGACTTACAATTACAGGAAATGAGCTGTACAGCTAATTAAGAAGGTGTGCAAAAAGTGCTAAAGAAAATTCGACACCATGGAAGATTTTAGTTTTGCTGTTATTACCTAAAGTTGCTGAGCATGTAGGAGTAAAATGGCTGGAATCCTTTTGCTCATCTATTCAAAGTGATAGGCAGCTGAAATAATTCTGACGGATTCCTTTGTTATGCACAGGTAGCTCCAAAATGCTGATTGCTTCCCAGATTTTAAAAGATACAGTCCTTGCCTTGAGAAACCAAAAAGTGAGTATTTAGTAAAAAGCTTGCGCTAAGCTCCCATGAAATATATGTTGTCAAGTGAGAGCGAATAAACTAAGATGAATTTCTCAGCAAAACTTCCATTCTGTTTTGTCTTTTTGATACTGCCAAGTACGAAGGTTTGGTATTGTCAGTCCAGCTGCCAAATGCCCCTAAGGCATTTGGTAATAATTTGACATAGTATATGCTGACATCTTTGTTGATGCTGATTATTTTGCACATGTGATTCTTAATGAACAACAACATATGAAAACTCCCACCATGACAGATGTGTTTATTTAAATGTACTTAAGCAAAAGTAGTAAAATGCATTTTTAAACAAAGCTACTGAGGGTTACAACTATTAGCTTTTACATACAATTGGCATAGATTTCAATAAGGGCACAGAATAAGACTCTTATACCAGTAGGGTTGAAAGATTGCCGGTGTTGCAAATGATTTGTTTCATTAAAACCCTGATTCACTTGCAATTGCTTCATCCACAAATCCTAAAACAGTGGGGTTCTGATTTCCCTTCCAAAGTCTGGTGCTGTTGCCTCTGTTCGTGTTAACATACTTGTGTAGCATGCTGTAATGCTGCTCTTGCAAATTGAAAGCATACAAGAATGAAATCTTCCGCCAGTCTTCATTGCTGGGGGTCTGAAACGGTGCTGGGTCAGTGGCTTCAAAAAAGCAGTTCACATTTATTTCTGACAGCTTGCTCGCATGCTCTTCAGCCTTGGCCTCAAAGACCTCGCATTCCTTTTTTGAGTAAATTTTCCAGAACTTGAGCTGAAGATAGCTAACTGGGGAGCAGCAGCGGCTGATACACCTTGCAATCAGTGCCGCAGTCATGATGGCGATAATCAGGAACCATCCTATAAGCTTGGAAAACAGATAAATGGATTTATGGTGGTTTTGCATGGTCATACGCAGGAGTATAGAACTTAACATTGAAGCAGACGTGAAAACTGTCAGCAAAAAAACCCTGGAGCGCCTATAACAGCCTGCTTGCTGAGGAAAGAGATGATCACATGACAGTCTTACAAAGCTTGTGTTCCCCTGAGCTGGTCTTATTGGATTGAGGATGAATACCAAAAAAAGAGAAGGTAAAGTTCTTTCCTCTTTTATATCTAGCCTTCTTAAAGGCAAGATACTGATCAGCAGTTTCTGCAGTTGTGGTCAGATTTACACCATAGAGGGTGCAGGATCACCCTGTTCACTTCTGGTGCTGTAAATTAGACCTGCTGACCGTGTTTTGTCTGCTCTTGGAAAATAACTGCTCTCCCTGATATCTGAGCCTGCAAAAAACAGCCACTTGCCACAGCACACAGGGAGAATTGTGTCCTGTGTGCTTTGTAGGCAGGACATGGATTTGACTATCAAATATGGGAATTCACTCTTGTTTCATGCATGATTTTAACATCCCTGGGTAAGTCTCAGAGGCCCCACCTAAAGTGGGTGTCCTAGAAGATGCTGGTTCCTCCAGTACCCAGTGGTACATAGCTGGGAGCTCCAGGTATCTGCTTTCACCTCAGGCTTTTTTTTTTTCAAGTGAAAAACATTGAGTACTAAAGAAAAATGAGTTGTGCTCTTACTGGTTCTTAATTTTATTGGAAGTTGATCAGATATTAAAAATAAAGGTCACTAATAAAAATGGTGTCACACTTTTTCTGGGTTTTTTGGACTGTTCTTTTTTTTTTAGATTTCATTGCAGCAACAGTTACAGTCAGTCTTCCTTGATTTTGCTCCTTTCTGAATTCCATTGTATAGAGTTTGCCCCTTTTCAGCCTTTTCCTTGGAGCAGAAGCATGCTAAATACGGTAATTTAAACACTTCCGTTGTTTCGTTTTCTTAATGCAAACATTTTTATTGTTTTAATAAGCTTTTGTACTAAACAGGAACTTACAAAAATCCGAATAATTATAATCTCTTATAAACTTAACTCCATGAACTAGCCTTATATTTTCATGAGAAAAAGTGACAAAACCTGATTTTTCTACTAGATAATGACCAAACAAACCTAGAAATTAAACTGGAGAACTGCCAAAATTTGGGGGTTTCATTTCACTTCAAACAAATAATTTCACTCACAAGTGCTAATTTTTTGATCATGCAGTTTGCCTTCAGCACAAGAACACTTTAACAAGACAGATGCCTATTTTAACTATTCTAGGAAATTATTAATATGTTTACGCATTGAAATCTGTAGTGAAACTGTCCTTGCTTCACTTGCCAGTTCTCTGTTGCAAGGGGACAACAGCTTCCTCTTTGTGACTTCAGCTTCCCCTCAGCTAATGATTGCTTGCAGAAGTTTGGGGTATTTAGAGAGATAAAGTGGAAAAAGAGAAGAACTGGCACCATGCCTAAGTTAAATGAGAAGAAAACTTGCTGTGGAAAGTCCTGGTGTCTAGACTGGTTCCCTGACCAGCTTTGAAAGAGTTTTTGTAATCAGCAGTGCCAAACAATTGTCATGCAAACATGCAAAACCAGTAAATAGCACAAATACACACTTACTACTTTTCTGTTAGTGGTTTTTTTTTTTTGCTAATCAATTTTAACTGTGTACCTTTAATAATTATGCAGTGTGAGAGAGAGAGATTGGGTACACCACACACTGAGCAGCCAGGGTTGAAGCCCATAGGGTGAAGAGGACAGCAGCAAGGTTTTACCTGGGACTGTGCCTGGAGGCTGAGGAATTCACCTGATATCTGCTCCGATAACTTCTCATCACAGGGCATTTTGACCAGCAGCTTGTTACACTCTTCTTTATCTTTACACACGAGGTTCCTTATCCAGCTGCTTCCACTGGCCATGCACTCATAGAAGCTGGCTCTGAGCAGGGCCACGGCAAGCCAGGTGAGGGGGGCCACCACAGCTCTGGCTGTCACCTGCAGCAGCACACAGAGGCAGCTGCCCAAGGTGCCCTTGGGGCAGCAGCTGCAGCTCTTCTCTAGAGTGCAGATGGCAGTCAGCAGGCGCCACATCCTGGGGTTCACCATGTAGCCGAGCAGAAAGAGGATGAAGGCAGGCACTATGAGGAAGACAGATCCATACAGCATGTTCCCAGAATTGCAGGGACACTGGAACACCACAGCTGAGAAGATGTACTCAGTAGCAGCTGTCAGCAAGGACACAATGCTGTAACCCAGAATGGTCTGGTGGCGGATGCAGAAATCTAGTGCCCTGTGCAAGGTGTCCATTTTCTGCCTCTCCTTAGTCTGAAGAGAGCAAAATCTCAGTCAGAAAAGAGAAAGAGAAAGCAATCCTGAAGCCACCCCCCAGCTTAGAGAAGCTTGCAGAGCTTCCACTTTCTGTTGGCAATGGTGATGTGGTGGTGTAGCGAGTCAGTGAGGCATGAAGTAGCTTTTAGAGAAAACAGAAGAGAAAAGGCTCACTGCGTAGTATCAAGGTCATGAAATTCAGCAAAGTGCAAGGTCTTACACCTGGGTTGGGGTAATCTCAGGCTCAGATACAGGTCGTTTCCAACCCTAACTATTTCATTATTCTAAGTGGAGACCACAGTGAAAGCCCCCCAGTAATCAACATCAAAACAACAAAGATTTGTCTTTGTTTCTATAAAAACAGTTTGTATTTGTCCACACGATGCATTGTAACTGGCAGTGACTAAAACCTTTAGTAAAGCTTTGCAGTGAGGCAACAGATTCATTGTGAATAAAATGTGAGAAAACCACCCAGAACTGTGTATAGTTTTTTTATCCTGCCTTTTATTAGCAATACAGTATGTTGTGTTCTCTTACAGAAGGAAAGTCAACTATAACCATGTTAATTTCTCAAGCTAATCAATTAATCTTTTTAAAGTAGTTAAAGCAAATTAGTCAGTGCGCACAGCAAGTGATTTCCACTGAAGCTCCAGCTACCGGAGTGCCATTTGCCAGGAATCTGACTTTGGACTCCCTCCTCCATAGCAGGTAGTGACAGCTTTGTGGCACAGAAAAAAATCCCACCCAGAAATCAGCAGAAACTAAGCAGATGGCATGAAGTGGACAAATGATGGAAAAGGCTTGCATAATGAAGAACAAGTATCTGGAAGTGATTCCTGGGCTTGGAAGACTGGGCTGCCTGTGAAACAGTTGCTCTCAGGGTCAATAGGTTTCAATCACGCACTGGGGGAACTCCTAGCTAAGGTTAGCCTTATTTAAATCTAGATGAAGTGAATTGTGACTCAGAATTAAGGAAATTGAAGCTATGTTACTTGCTTGCAGCCATGTAGCTGAAGTTCTCCGAGGTGGTGAAGGCAGTGTGGTAGTTTGCTGTCATCTCATGCTTGGTGACACCAAGCTGTGCAGCTGGATTGGGAGTTGGTGGTTACTGTCACCTTCTTTGCCACTTCTCCAGGATTTTAGAGCCAAAATCACCTCCCTCTTGCATGAACCAGGAGCTCTCTGGCCTGAGTGCCTGCATCAGCACTATGATCACCCTGATCAGATTTCGAATGCTGTAATTTATACAACAAGGGAACCTAACAACCAGTAGCAGCTCCCTGGAGCAGATACCGACCACACAGGAGAAAGAATACAGCCAATAAACCCTGCTACTTCCCTTTCTGAGCCTAATTTTAGCAGTGTTTTACTTATCTGTAATAAAATATTTCAGGATCAAGCTTCCTGGAAAAAGGGAAGGGAGCTCTGTGTGTAAAAGGATTAACCCTCCACTCCAAGCAAACATATTTCCAGTAAATACTTGCAGGAAGAAGTGGGAGAGGGAGAAGAGACCACCCTGGTTGGTAAGTGGGGGAGTAGATGTTCTAGGACCCAGGTGGGGCCCAGTGATGGCTGGGGGGAGCCCAGCCCTTGGGAAGCCTCTGGAGCTGGGGTCTGGAGGATGCCCTGGGAGGGAGGAGCTGGAGGCACAGGGGGTGTGGAGCCCTACGCTCAGCTGCTTTTGACATCCTGTTCACCTCAGAGCACTGCTGTCCCAGAAAAGCTCTTTCTTGCCATCTAAATTAACACTTGTCTTGCTGCAACAGCTGTAAAGCATTAACTGGAAAGTGTTCACAAAAACAGTTTTCTGTTAAAGAAAGGAGAATTCCAATTTAATGGTTGGTTTTGCCTTGATTTGCACTATATATCATGCCTTCCAAGGGAGATGAAAAACAATCTCAGAATGAAAAACATGAACATTTTTAGAACAGAATGATTATTTTTGTTATTTGAAACCTCTTTTCATTTTGAAATATACTTTATTAAAATGAAAGGGTCAGCTGGAAACAAATTGACTTGTTTAATATTTTATCAAGTTTCTCCTTATTTCTGTCTTTTCATTTGAATCTGAATGATTCTCAAGCATTTTGTTGTGGAAAAAGCTGTTGTCTAACTAATTCTGTGGTGGTATTAAATGCATAATACTGGTCTTAAATGCGGCGTGTGTGTCTGTGTGCATGTGTGCTGGGGGACTTTGCCAGTACATATTGAGTAGATCTCGTTTTAGTCATGTTAGTAAGTCCTTACAATACATTATTTATTTTTCTGCTGGGAGACATCCGCTCTTTGTTTGGGATAGCAAAAGGCTGGTTTTGTTTTTCTACAAATCATTCTCTTCCTAGCCACTCTGATCAATGTCCATCCTGTCCCAAATTCCTGCCATTGATCTTATCACACTCAACTTCCTCTTTACACAATTAATCTAAAATCTTACACATCTGTGTATGCAATGGAATAGAGCATCTCAGCACTGATTTTATAACAACTGGGTTTGCTTGCTCAAGTGAAAGAGCTGTAAGCTGTGTTTCTCAGTGCCCAGTTCAGAAAGACATACAGAAAAGAAATTTTATTCTAGGAAAATTCTTGTAACACCTTTTGTTTCATTCCAGGTGAAATCAATGCTTGACTAGCGGGCGTGTTGTCCACAAGCAAATCTGCATCTACCTTCCAGGTGGACTGACCTCCCCTGGAGGCCCATTACCTCAGTTTGTGAAACCAAGGAAGTTATTCTGACTTTATGGTTGAACCAGTCTTTTCAAAGGTTTGTGAAGTGTCACACAACTCATTGGCACCACATAAATCATTAGTAGTACTAACACTTAGCAGAGCAGAAGCCTGAGAAATAGCACTGTGGCTGGGCACGTACAGCTTACAAGCATTTGTGTACATTATACTGCTATTTTAAGGCATTACATTTATTAGCAGCTTTGGCTGAAAGCAGGTTTTAGTGGGTAGGAGGGAACCAGGTCTGCAAAACCAAGCATAGCTCTGAAGGAGGCTCTGATGGGGAGCTCTGGTGCAGAGTCACACAAGCCAACTGCACTGTTTTTCTCTTGCTATAATTTACTGCTGCTCTTTTAAAACTATAGGTCCACTACGGGTCTCATTCCTGAATGGGGACCAACCCAAGTGTCCTACAGCAACCAGCAGTGTGAGGGCTTTACTGGTCAATCTAGACTAATCTTCAATCTATACATGACATAAATAAGTCTGCATGATTCTTTAAGTGTAGGCTGTGGAACACATGAAAAATATTTGCTGAATTTATAAGAAAATATATGATATTTTCATAGGATTAGAAAGGTAGAAGTTGTCAGGTTTTATGATGAAACTAAGGAGCCTTAGTGAGGCAGATTATAGAGTTAACTCATTTGAAATCTGGTAAATCACCCTGGGTAAACAACTAGTCAGTTCTAAGAAAACAAAGCTCACTCTTTCTCATTTACTATGGAAAATGAAACGCCATAAAATTACTTCACAAATTTAAGCACATTAAGCCCCAAATGTGTCTATATTTTTATTATAAATGTTTTGCATTCTATGTGTCCTTGCTTTCTTCAGTTTGTGCTATCACATCTTGCTGTCTTGGAATTGCTGAATAGCAGGGATTTTATTCTGTTCCACACCTCCTGTTTGTGTGTCCTCATGCTGTCTGATCAAATGCTACAAAATATGCTCTGTACTTACCATTCAATTAGTCCCTCTTCCTCCTTTTAAACTTGAAGTGACTAATTAGTTCTGCAGTTCATGGTAGTATGCCCCTTTCCCCCATCTCCGATGGGGGAAATGTGCCAGTGCAGAAATAGAGTTATTTTCCAATCACTATGTGCTTTCAAATATTAAGAAAAAAATTTTCATCTGGGGAAAGTGCATAGGCCAAGAGAAGAATCTGATGTATTTCAGACATGTAATCCTTCAGAATAAGCTTTGATCTTACAAGTTTTAAAAAATGAGGTAATGTGCTCCATTGCCTTTGCTTCCTTTAGTTACAATGATGTATATAACATACACAGCTGATTTTTAGCTGGATTCAAAAAATCATTGAAAAATATAAGAACCAGATTTCACCCTCAAGCATATACACAGCTACCTGTGGGCTGAATTTCCATTCAGTTTGTTCAGAATACACTGAACTAACTTTAGACTAATTAAGACTGCAGCCATGAAATGAAGCATGCAGGACTGAACATCAGCTATTGAATGGAAATTGAACTAAGTAATCGGGGTTTCAGATGAATACAGGAACCCATCCACATACACCCACTCATAGGATAGCCATCTTTTCCTGCAGTCAGAGATGCAGAATATTAACATTTTTAGAAACCAAAAAGGAGAATGAGAATGGTAGCTGAGGCATGTGCCAGAAACAATTCAGTGCTGTAACTTGTCCTGGGTTCAGCTACAGCAGTCATTTTTTCTCCTTCTTAGTAGCTGGGGCAGGGCTGTGTTTTTGACTTTCAGTCTGGGAACAACGCTGATAACACCGATGTTTTTAGTTGTTGCTAAGTAATGTTTACTCTGACCAAGGACTTTCTCAGTCTCATGCTCTGCCAGAGAGGAGGGGAAGCCGGGAGGAAGCAGAGGCAGGACACCTGACCCAAACTGGCCAAAGGGGTATTCCATACCACAGCACGTCATGCCCAGTATATAAACTGGGGGGAGTTACCCGGAAGGCCCAGATCGCTGCTCGGGTCGGGCTGGGTATCGGTCAGTGGGTGGTGAGCGGTTGTGTCCTTTTCCCTTGTTATTCCTCTTATCATTATTATTGGTAGCAGTAGTGGTTTGTATTATACCTTAGTTACTGGAGAGCTGTTATCTCAACCCGTGGAAGTTACATTCCTCCTATTGTCCTCCCCATCCCTCTGGGAACTGGGGGAGGAAGGAAGAGGTAGGGGAGTGAGCGAGCATCTACGTGGTTCCAAGTTGCTGGCTGGCCTTGAACCACGACAGTTTCCTTTTGGCTCCACGAAGGGTTGAGA